TGCACTCTGGACGAGCTGCTGCTGCTTCATTGATTTTTTTTTTTTTTTTGACCATTATAATAATCCAACCTACTGAGAAGACATGCAGCTCTAAATCCTTGCTATATATTTAAGATAATTATGGGTAGATTTAATGTTCTGTGTTTAAACTCTGTGCTGATAATAATAAATAACACCAAGATTATAAGGGACCGTATCAAATGTTGACACTGTAATTTAGAGTTGTGTATCATCAGCATATTCTTTTGTATAGAGTCACTCCAGTCAGGCTGTAAATTATGTGTAAAACAAAACTAAAGACTAAAGTAGTAGCTGTTGAGAATGAGTCGGACGGAAGAGGAGAAAGAGGGGGAGGAGGGAGGAGGGAAGAGGGGGGGGGGACAACCCTGGAAAACATGAATAGGAATCTCACCGTCTTTACAGGCCAAACTCCTGGAAACTTTGCATGGGAGTTGCGAGACCTTTTTGAGCGTGCCAGTGTTTGGAGCACGGTGAGCCGCACAAACGGGCCAAACGGGCCGTCAGTGCCAGACACCCGTCCAATCTACCGCCCTGGCCAATCAGCGCTCCTGTGTTTGGGGGGCGACTCTCTGGCTCCTCGGATGAAAAGCTCAGTCTGTATGCTGCCTGCCTTAAGAGAAGACGGAGAATGATGAGAAAAAAAAGAACGCTCTGTAGGAAGGTTGAAGAGGGGAGTGGGAGGACTGTGTCCCCTCCACAGCAGGCCAATCTGGAGAGCGGTCAAGAGTGTGGCAGACACAATAACAAGGACCTGCAGAGTCACAACAAGGATGAGAACAGCCTGACCTGCAGTGGGCGCCCTAGGTGGGTCATGTATATTATAAATACTTGTTAGTATTTACTGGTCATATCCACAGCATCTCAAGGCTCGAGGCTGCGCCAATGAAACTAAAACAAAACCTATTACAGTAAGACCAAACATTTGTTCTAATAAACAAATATCTAAAGGGAGACGTTCAACCTTGAGATTTAGAGAAATAATGTCAAACATTGACAAAAACAACAGTTTACCTACCTTTTTTTTTTTTTAGCACAAAGCAGTATTTTTAGTTTTTTCTTCTTCCTCCCATTGTTCAAGGTTGTCAGTGGCCCGAGGTGGAGAAGAGCTGAGGCCAGTCCAAGGTGACGTGGATGGAAAAGCAAAGAAGACAAATGACATGTAATCAGTCATTTACAGCACAGGGTCAAACAACAATTCACACTTACATTTACGCCAGTGTTTATTTAAAGTCTGCAACAGTCACAAAAAAAAACCTCTGCTAACACTGAGAGAACCTTTAAGTTCTACATCATTATAAGCTTGAACATGAATCACTGACCTTCTTGCTGTGAGGCCTGTAAGAGATGTTACCATTTTTCTTTTTTCTTTTATTTTAACTGATCTGTTGGTAGAAGTCTCGGTGATTCAGTGTGACATCCTCAGCAGTGTGTGGGTTTCACAGGTTCTCTATGTAGAGCTGTTATATCTTGTGCTGTCTTCCTTCACCTGTGCAAACTGCCACCTGCTATCAACAACCCCCAGGAAACTGTGGTGACAAGCGTCTCATCACATACATACCCTCCCACACGGCGCTGTCGCTGCTATTCTGTCAAAGAAGAAGAAGACCTAACCGGTGATGTCATCGTCGTGTTTACTCTAGGACTGAGTGGAGTTTCAACCTTCGTTTCCTCCTGCTCAGGACAGAGCTCCTCCGATGGACCCTATGTCGCTCTGACTCTCCCTTGTGGTGGTGGGATCTGCAGAGTTAAAAAAAACAAACAAAAAAACCTTACAGGACCACATGTGATTTTAGCTTCTGACACACTTGGTGTCTTTTCAAGTGTGTTTTAGGTTGTAGACAGAAAAACAACTTCTTTTTTTAGCTGTCATCCTCTGACCCACTGCAAAGACACAAAGACAACTGGAACCAGCTCTATAGCTACAGCTACAGTATATATACAGTACATATACAGTACATATGTACATACATATACATATATGTAAAAATATATACATACACAGGTATACCCACACATGTATATAAATCATAATATATAATGATATGCATACACAAATATATGCATGTATATATATACATATATACACAGATATACTGTATATACATACATATAAATATATGTGTATATACTGTATATGTATGTGTATATATATATAGGAACACCAGTCAAAAGTGTTATTGTCTATAGGAACCTACCCATATACGCTGATGATGATTCAATGGGATCATCATCAGCTGTCAGTCACATCCATTATTGTCTATAGGAACCTACCCATGTACGCTGATGATGATCATCATCAGCTGTCAGTCACATCCACTGTGTGTGTGTCCTTCTCCTCATTCACTTTTCAGGATCCAGACCATGAGAAATAAAACAAAGGCGTTTTAAACATTCATTTGTGTCAGCTGTCAATCAAGGCCATCCTACCACATGGTCACCACACACAAAGGCCGACGCACATACGGTATCTGTAAAGTCACACTCTTTTCCAAATGTGTTGCGTTCACTTGTCCTACCTCCAGACACCTCTCTATTGTGTGTGTGTGTGTGTGTGTGTGTTTCTGCAAAAATCCTTATCTGATCTGATGATGTGCCGACAGGAGACACGCATCCTGGACTCAGTTAAATGCTATGTGTAATCACTGGCATCACTGTCGCCTGGTAATTAGATCAGTGTGAACACATGGTAATACCAGCAGCAACAGGAACTGCTGTCCACTTCAGTGGCAGCAATAAAAACAATTAATAACAGTACAATCTAACGCCTAATTCTCATTTAAACAGAAACAGTAGAGATGAGCAGCACGGCCAGAACCACTTTTCACGTTGATTTATTATTTTAAGGGGGACATTTTTTGCTGTGGTGAAATATATTTGAGGGCATTTTTGGCTCTTTTCTAGGGCAGTTTAATCTAATTCTGGGAAACACCTTCAGGGTAGTGCCAAGGTCGACGGCTGTGTGTGTTTCAGAGGCGGAATATGTTTCGATAAGAGCTTGGAGAAGAAATATATTGTTATCTTTATCAAAACAGACTTTAAAACGGTTTTTGAACTTTGTATTAATTAATTAAGAATGCATTTAATTGGACCATTAAAGAGACAGGACTGAGATATTCATGGGAAACTTTGTCAGAAAAAAGACAAAGAGCTTTACAGGTCGTTTTAGATTCTTTGGTGTACGCATTATAAACATGTCATTTTCAAACATTCAGCCACGACCTGACACGTCGTATCTTTCAAAAATACAGCTGGAGGATAAAGATATGGAATGATTGGTTCTCACAAGGTCAGTGTGAAGCTACAGGAATTCATGTTGACGGCTTTTGTCCCGACGTCAAGTGTTTCCCAAGGCTGACGCAGACTCCACGTGTCACTGTGCAGCAGTAATTTCTACAAAATGTTCAGATTCTATGTCAGTAGCTGGGCTTGGTATGTATGGCCGAGGCTAACAGGATGTCGTTAGCATTATGTGCACTTGGCCACACACCAACGACATCACACAAATGAAAAGTATGCTCCGAGACAGACACCGCAGTCACAGATCTTTTTCTTTAACATTTCATTTCATTTGTTGTCTGTGGTTTAGTATAAATGGGAGAAATCCATGAACAACAGAGAGAAACACTGGAAACACTACAGCTTCAGTCTCCACTCTGGGTTTTCTTCTTTTAAAAAAGGGACTTGGAAAAGTGTGTTCCAAACTTTGCCAAGTCACTGGTGGTTTATTACTTTTATTGGATGTTTTTCTTCTTTTTTTTTTTTGGATTTCTCACTTCAGTTCCTGACAGACGGAGAGGGTTTAAAACTTTGATCCCCAGATAAAAACCCAGATCTTTCTTCAATCATTTCTCTTTTCAAACTCACAAACCTCTTCAGATCTGATAAACATAACCTAAAGCTGAGTTATAAAAAAATATATATACTGATGTCTTGAGAAAAAAACCCTGAAAATTCCCAATTTCTTGGAACAGAGATGTTTATAAAAACCAGTTATTTTTGTTTAAGGGAATTTTTTTGGTAGATCATTTGATACGTTGGGTTTTTTTGTCAACTTTTGTGTTTCCTAAAATATTGATTTGAGAAATAAAACATGTTACCCGTAGAACAGAACAAATGGAATAACTGCAGTCCACTGTATTCCCATGTTTCAGACCATTACAATAACACAGATTCTTCCTGCTGCGACATAAACACTCTGACCTTTAGCCTCCCTCACCTCCATCCTCTCCGCCCTTTCATTCCTATCGACCCTGCGTTCTGTCACCACCTGTGGCTACAGGCGGCAGTGTGATTGACGTGTCCCCTTTTTACGTCCGTCCGCGCTGGCTTATACTCATCCCACAATTCCCGTTGCCAGGGTGACAGATGGGTTTCTTCTGTGGAAACACTCCATCTCCATCTCTGTCACCTCAGACTGGTGTGAGCAGGGCTGAGTGAGAGTCAGTCCCACCAGTGTGACAAACAGCAGTGCCACTGACTAACGGCGAACACGACATCTTTCTTTGTGTCGTTTCAGACTACGGCGGAGATTTGAAGTCGGTCCAAAGGGCGAAGTCACGCAGACGTCTCTGACTGCAGCGTTAGCTGTAAAAGCAGAGCGTGTTTGGACCTGTCTGTTGTTCAGAGTCAGAGGAGTCGTCTGCTCCGCAGCAGAGGAAGCTTCAGCTCACAGTACAGTACAGTCTGTTACCAAAGATCCAGAGGTTCTCAGTCAGTTGTCGTTCAAACAGTTGGATTAAAATATAAAGGTGGACACATCCATTCATACAGTGAAATTTCCACTGTTTTACTGTTCATTTTACTCCACTGCTAAAGCAGCGGTCCCTAACCTTTTTTAATTATAGATGATGAACATGCTAAAGCAGCGGTCCCTAACCTTTTTGTACCACGGACCAATCGGTCGTTATCAGCTGTTATTACCAGTTACCGCGCCAATATTGATGGATCATTAAGTTTTTAAAACAAAACATCTTTTAGACTTTTTCTGTTGGTATCGGAGAACATTGTCAGATTTTATTTTAATGAGAAAAGTAAAGAACAGGGACTGGGACGAGGGCAGCACTCAAACCCAGGGCGCCACAGGACCACCACTGTGATAAGTCTCAGTTTAAATTCACTTCCTTCCTCCAGCCGCTCTAACTTGGTCTCCGTCAGCTTCATCACTTCATCTGTCACATGTGCCGTGCCACAGTCGGACAGCTGCCAACTGAGAGGGATGACATCATCATAACCGTCTGTTGTCTCTAATTCTACTCAAGTCTCCCAGACACAAGCGTGGAGTATGATTAGCATCGAGCGGATGACATCATGCTACAGTGAGTCTGCCTACGGGTGCGATGACATCACCGCGTGTGAGTGGATAACTGGGATCTCTGGGATTTAATGACGGCCCGTGGCGTCTGCTGTAGCGATGATTACAGGCTGTGGATTTTATCAGGTGTGAGGAAGTCCAGTCCTCTCTCACTCTGACCACGGTCAGCAGGTTTCCTGCTCTGGTTGGAACGGTGCATTCTTCTTGTTTTGGTTTTGTAAATCGATACGCTGGGATATTCAGGTGTAATGAGAACTGATGTGATGTTTGTCCAGAAAGTAGGGCCGGCTGTGATCTCAGTAGAGTTCACACATGTCGATCATAGGCTCGCACAGCACAGTATCGATCTGACCTCCAGGGGGAGTCCATGATAGAAGTGACTGGAAAGAAGAGAAAGTGACTCCTTAGTCATCAATGCAGGGAAAATCTTTTTTTTTATGAGTTGAATGTTGTCTGTACCTGTCCGTCTGGAACAGACGACATTCAACTCTTCTGTACCAACATCACTGCGTTCTCGTAAGTTTCAATATGAAGTTTCTATTCAGAAAAGAAGGAAATCAAAACAAAGGCAACAAAGAAACAAAACTGAAATAAGACACTTAGAAAAAGTCATAAATGCTCAGAGTGTGCTGTAGAATACGAAGGAACAATACTGACAGGCTTGACGTCTCTGTGGAGAAGTCTCTAAAATTGGTCATGGTCTTCAGTTCTGTTCTGTTCTGTTCTGACTTCGTATTCAAACTCTGATTGTCAGAAAGTGATTCTCTACGACTGGGTGAAGGCTGAGGAGGTCCGGAGGCAGCAATAGTCTAATAAAAAGAACCACTAAATCATAATAACAATATTGTGATAAGGAACAGAATCAGTTGAAAAATCCATCATTTTATTGGTCCTTTGTCCCCAGCAAAATCATTTTTGGTTCTTCCCCAAAATACAACAGCAAAGTTGGGATTCGAACCTGTGACTTTTTGACAACAAACCTGATCCTGGCCTCCAAGTCAATGTTCTATGAAAAAATAAATGTATTTCAGTCGTCACCCTGGACCAGGTGATAACGAAGGACCAGAGACAGGTTTTAATCCAGATCGTATCAGGTTCTCCTCCGTGTGAGTGAGAGTCAGTGCAGATTCACTGATAAGAACGACGGTTTGTCTCCGTCTAATCAACACACACTGTTTATTATTGTTCACCACATGTAACACGACACCCCCACTTTCCCAGCAGAACCAATGAGACGAGACAAGCGTTTGAAAAAGCGACCGTGACAAAACAGACGAAGAGCCGTCGAAGAGGAAGAGACAGAATGTGACACACGTCAAATTGACGATTTAAACAGTAATAAAAATGTAAAACAAAAACTGGAATTATTTTAAAACAAGTTGAGAAAGTTTAAATTTCTCAACTTATTTTATATATTTTAAAAGTTTAAATTTTAAAATATATTAGCTGACTGTACACGGGAGCTTCCTCTCAGTCCAACCAAATCTCTGCCTCGGCTCCGCTGTTGTTTTAACGCGAACCTCAAATCCATCTCGACATCTCGATCTCCCCGTTAGCCATATGTAAACAACACACACACACACACACACACCTAGGGTATAAGATGTGTGTTAGAATAATAGAGAGTGACTGCACTCCCACATACCACAACAAAACACGCACACAAACAAAGATCTTCTGAAGGTTAATGAAGGCATGTCAAGGCTCGGCTGCTGAAAAAAAAAAGTTATTTTTTGCTCTTTATGTTGTGAAAAACATGTTTACTAAGTCAAAAAGTTCTAATTATTATTATTTTCTAAGGCGTCTGATTTTAATTCCTAACCTCATCAGGTCACGTCTCTTTATCATGTGTTGGAACTCAATTGACCAAAAGGTTAGAAAATAAATTAAAAATATACGTGAGGAAAGAACGTCGGAACCTGTTTTTTTTTTTGCTTACACATCGTTTCCCAGTTGGACGTCGGGCGTGAGAGATGCTGAGCTGACTGTAGTGATAATGAAGGAGGAACCAGGTGGAGGAGAGTGACTGCTGGATTAGTCATGGAGGACTTGATCGATGCACACACGCCGCCACACAGACGCACGCACATATGGAATGCACACACACGTGCGTCGACCTGCCCGCACAGCTGCGTCCTGTCAGATAACAGCGGTTCACACACACACACACACACACACACGCCGTGCTCAGCAGGTGCGTGACATGTTCAATTACAGGCAGAAAATTAACCTGCGACTGTGTCTTAGAAAGATGATTCCCTGCCTCACAGCTGTGACCTTTAACCCCTGAATATATGTCGAACAAAAACGCACGACCTTTGTCTTTTGAAGAGATTATCATCAAGTCTGAGTCTGAGTGTATTCACTCCTGTTTTGGACCGCTTACACAAACTGATAACAATAAAATGTAATAAAGGAGTAGTACCTTCTGCTTGTGCATATATATGTATATATATATACATATATATACATATATATATATGTATGTATGTATATATATATGTATATATATATACATATATATATATGTATGTATGTATATATATATGTATATATATATACATATATATACATATATATATATGTATGTATGTATATATATATGTATATATATGTATATATATATACATATATATATATGTATGTATGTATATATATATGTATATATATGTATATATATATATATATATATATATACATATATATACATATATATATATGTATGTATGTATATATATATGTATATATATGTATATATATATACATATATATATACATACATACATATATATATATGTATATATATATATATATATATGTGTGTGTGTGTATATAAATCCATGTTTTATATGCCATGTTCAGTTGCTCAGTCTTGGTCTGATTACTGAAGCCTGTGAGAGAACCAAACGTGCAGTAAACGCCTCCTGCTGTTTGTTTACAGCTCGGTGCAGGAGGCTGAGAACACCCAAAAATAAAAAGTCATTTCAAGAAAGAAGAACAACTGGCAGATTTTTTTTTTTCTTTGAAATATTTTGTAGTGGGTCTACAGACATGATCAAGAAGAATACTTTATACCCAGGGAGAGAGAGAGGGCGCTCTTCAGGAAGAGTAGAGTCTATAAAAGGGCTGGGTGTGTGTGTGTGTGTTTATCATCTTTTTATCTTTAGGTGGTGAAATGTGTCCACTGAAGCTTCTTAAACAAATCAATATATATAAATATATACATATGTATAGTACATTTCAGTTTGAATCACATCAGGTCAATCCAGCCTCCCTCCTTTCCTCACACTCTCTCACCTCCTGCTCTCCCCCTGACTCCCCCCCACCTCTTGTTCTGCCCCCTGCTGCCTTCACCCTGAACCTCAGGACTCTTTCTTTCACCTTCTCCACCTTTTCCCTGGAGGAAGAGTTAATTATGAAAGCAAAGGTTGAATAATTAGCCGGGCTACAACACAAAGAGCAGATTAGGAGCAGGATTAAAACGTCTGTGGAGTTAAAGGGGAGCGAGAGCCGGCGACACGTTACGGCCGTGACCAAGAGAAAGTGAAAGTGAAAGTGAAGGGACGGAGAAGTGTAGACACGGGAAAAGATGGAGGAGAATCATCTCCTGACAATTAACCTGCGCTCTCTCTCTCTCTCCTCTCCATAATTATCACCTCACTGCTTCATTATTACTGGGACAGATTCGCCGTGCGACACAAAGCAGAGAGCAGCTCATGCGTCACAGCCTATTCATAGCAGCCCCTCTGACTTCTCCTGCTTCCTTTAACCAGTCTGGTGGCCATGAATACATTTCTTATATTATCCCATAAAATCATATCAGAGATGGACATCATTGTCATCTCTCGGCCAACAAAGCCTCCTGTTCTTCACGGCGCTGATACCTGCTTTGAGGAAAGGAATCTTTTCAAGGCTGATACGTTTTTTGATAGAGCTTCCAGCAGGCCTCGGTTGGGTTTCCTAGCAACAGATCCACACGAGGACTTGTACGTGTAAGGAGATGGAGGCAAGGGTTGAGGGCCGGGGGAGTGGGGGGGTCTGCGTCCCCCTTCCTGATTACCCAATAATTACTTTAATGGACAGTCACAGATTAGCAGCTATCAAAGAGCGCACCATTAGCCCTGGACTGTGATTCGCAGCAGCAGGAGCCTCTCAAGATTTTCACTTTCCTTTTGTCTCTCCAACTACAGTCAAAAAAAAAAAAAAGTGACACGAGCAGGAACAACAGTTCTGTGAAACAAGTACAGCATGTTCTGCCCTAAACGCCAGGGTTATTAAATTAGATTTCAAATACAGGCGTTAACTGTGGAACTTTATATGCATTTCTCTTTTTAATTATGTTTTTGATTTACATAAACCACTATATTTATTTGGAGGTATGTTTTCTCCAGGCACTACAGCATTCAATGATTTTATTTTTTTATTTTTTTATTTACTTTCTTTACTCTATATGAAGCTAACTTGAGCCAATAGGTTTAAAGCATAGATTTAGCAAAAAAAAAAAAAAAAACTTTCTTATTTACTTTCTCTACTCTATATGAAGCTAACTTGAACCAATAGGTTTAAAGCATAGGAAACAAAAATAAGCTTACAAAACATTTTGTATTTAGCCAAATCAAAAATAAGTTTACAAAACATTTTGTATTTAGCCAAATGCAAAAAACCAAATATTTTAATAAAAACAATGAACAAATATATTATAAGATGCATATAGAAATATGGATACGTTCAGGTAGGAAAATGAATGAATGAGTGTCAAACCTATACCATTAACTGTGAAATGTAGTATCAGATGTCAAATTAAAACTCTTTTTCATATATATAGATATTCATATGGGGTGCATGTGTGATGTGGACCACGTGGGCCGTCCATGTTCCAACACTGAGTTGGCTGAAGTTCATGCGCAAAAAGGAATCAGTGCAGTTAAAAAAAGACGCAGCTTCAGGCTCAGCAGTTCACCTCACTGTCGACTGGAGGATGAAACTCTACTACACAACTACTCATCTGGATGATACCACGGATACTGTAAGATGCAGTAATGGTAATACCTTCTCATCTAGAGTAGAACTGCGTCTGCGCAACACTCTGTGTGTATTATTATTATTATTATTTCTTTTTTTTTTATGTAACACACATCCTGGACTGATATTTGCACATCCTGGGGCTAAAAACAATGTGATGTAAATAAACACAGGCCGAGGAAAGTAAATGTCAGAGCGCGGTCAAGTGAGCCTGCATCCAGTCGGAGTCTGAGCTGTTCATTTCCACTCAGCCTCCAGCTACAGCCAGCCTTCCAGCTGAGAAATGTTGTTGCAGTGAAATACAACAACAACACTACGGCGGCGTGTCAATACATCTGGTCCGACAGAGACGTCAGAG